TTTAGTAAAATCTCATTTTTGAATTTTTTTTATTTTTTTAAAAAACATTTTTAATATTTTTTTAATATTATGTTTAAAACTGACCGGTTTTTTGAAAACCACTTTGATTCTCAATTTAACTTCGGTTTCTGGCTTAATAATGACTTAACTCTTATCAAATCCGGCTCAATCATGAAAATAGTTTTTTTGGTCCAAATTGAGCAGTTAATGATGGCTCTAAGGTGCAAATACAAATACTTTTAACTTTATTCATATCTAATTTAACTAAGATTCACTTATATTTAATAAATTATAAAATTATAATTTATATTTTTCTTATATTTTTTATATATACATTTAATATTATTTTTATTTAATATTATTATAAATTTATATTTATATATACATTTAATATTATTTTATTTAATATTATTATATTTTTATTTTTATTTATTTTTATAATTTTTAAATGGTGAGGGTTACATTGCTCCTTTGAGAATAGTTTAAAAGTAAAATTTTACCTTAACTCATGAAAAGTAAATCCAACTAGCTATAATAAGGAATATTTAAACAGGGAGGGCAACATTGCTCTGATTTAATTAATTTTAGAGCAACATTACCATAATAAATAGTTCAAAGGCAACATGGCTCCTCTGATAATAGTTTAAAGATAAAATTACACCTTAATCTTTTTTTTTAACAATACACCCCCTCATCTATCAATCAATATCCCTCCCTTTCCTTTTTTTTTTTGGAGAATGACAATTAAGGACCTGCTAAGATCATTACTCCCAATTATAGACCGTGAAATTTTGAAATCTCAGTTAAGGACCTGGTCCTTAACTGTGATTAAAAAATGTAATTTATAAGATGAAATTCATTATTACTACTTGAGAATTCACTATTTTAACTTGAGAAAATGTGTAACGTATATTGTGAAAATATAAAACCCCACTTGAAAATTGAACGCTTTACAAAAAGTACCACTTGAGAATTCACTAACCCGATTTGAAAAAATTTCTAATATATATTGTGAAAATATGAAACTTTACTTAGAAATTGATTGTTTAATAAAAAATACCAATTTAGATAAGTCACTTTTTATTAATGATTCTCAAGTGGAGTTTCATTTTTTCACAATATACGTTAGAAATTTTTTCAAGTTTAGTTAATGAATTTTTAAGTAGCGCTTTTTGTTAAACATTCCATTTCCAAGTAGGGTTTCATGTTTTCACAATATATGTTAGTAATTTTTTCAAGTTCGGTTAGTGAATTTTCAAGTCGTGTTAGTGAATCCCACCTCACAAATTACATTTTTTTTATCACAATTAAGGACCATGATCCTTAACTCTGATTTCAAAATTTCACGATCCGTAATTGGGATTAATGTTCTTAGCAAGTCCTTAATTGTCATTCTCCCTTTTTTTTCCCTTCCATTATCCTTTTTTTAACATTTCATTTAATTCATTTTTCTTTTATACAATTTCCTCTATCTTTATAATTTAGGATTTTGACCTTATAAATTCTTGAATCCTCTCTCAAAATTCTTTCTATTTTCTTTTTAAAGAAATATAGTTTAAATCCTTAAAATTTAAACCCTTTTTTTATTAAATTATCTTTACTTAGATAATTTCATGATAAATTCCAATTAACCTGAATTAATCTCATTAAATTCAAATCAATGCTAATAAATATTTACTACCTTCAATTTTGTACTTCTTCTTAATAAAATAATAATTCAATGCTTTAACAATATAATTAAAAGTAATTTATTTCGATCAAGATTTTCTCCAATTTCATATTCTATTTCGTTAAATAATAATCATATATGCTTATATACTTTAGACAACATAAAATAAGTTACCTTAAAAAATCAATTTACTTAATAAATCATATTATGATATTACTTTAAATTTTATGAGTAAAAATTAGAATGTTACGTACTTCATGAGAGAAATAAATTCGTTTGGAAAAATGTTTTAAAATTAAATGAAAAATTATACTCTCTCCATTTAAAAATATAAGATATTTTTTAAGAAGTTAGATGATAAAAAATATAAGATATTTTTAGTCTTTTGAGGTGTAATCATTATTTTTTTAAAAGTGTCCTTATTGATAAATAACTTTATATTTATTATAAGATATTTAATAAGAATAAATTTAAAAAATTAAGGTTAGTTAGAAGATAGACAACTATTTTATTAAAAGGTGAAATTCAATTAAAAATGACTTATATTTTTGAATGAATGAGGTACTTTGAAAAATTAAAACTGAAAAATATGATATTACATAAGCTGAGAAATTTTATATGTATGGATAAAATGGCGTACAGACAATGAGATATCTTTCTATTTATATTAAATTAAATTTATTATTTAAAAATTTCTAACTAAATCTCTACAATTTGAAAAATAGTTAATTCAATTATTTCTATTTGTTAGTAAATTATATTGTCCACTAAAACATCAGGAAAAGGCATAAAAGAGAACATAATTGGACACTTGGAAAACATCTGAAATCTGTACATGAGCATCGTCAAAATTCTATTTATAAACACAGATAATAGGAATGACCATTAAAATGGAGCGAAGAAGCACGATGCATGTAGCTGCAAAAAAACAAAAAACAAAAAACCTCTTCTCACACATGCTTCTTTATGATGCCATACTCCCTCGGAAATATAATATAAGTAGTTTTTTAGAAGTATTCTTTGATTCAAAATAGAGGGTATTAAATAAATTTTATATTTTTTTTCATTTATACAGTTGATTTTTTTTATTCATTGTCTTTAAATACTCCATATTTATTATTTAAAAATTATATATATGTTATTAGAAAAATTCAAGGGCATAAAATGAAAGATGTGGGCATTTTTAAAAAAATAAAATTTCAGTTAACATTTTTTATAAATCATAAATTAGTTAAGAATAATAAATCTTGTGACTCGGAGGGAGTAACTCCCTGCATAAATATGTCATTTTGCCTAAATTAGCATGCTAGCATAAATGGTGAACCAAACAATATGTACATCTTAGTTCTACTTGATGAATGAGCGAGGCACACTTTCGTTGGTGAGAAGGCAATTTTCCTGAAAAAGACTTGATTCTTTTTAAGTAAAGTTGAATGTTCAAATCTTGTAAATGAAAATAATAATTAAAATAAGTAGATAAGATTTAACTCAAAATATTGGAGGATGTGCTTTGAATTCATGGTAGTAACTCTTAAAACTCTAATTAAACATTGCTTAATTCTATGCATATATATATATATGATTTCACATTTAGTATTAATGGCATGTGTGCTTCCCTCCAATGGAAAGAAGTGTCAAATCAATTAACGCCCATGTTTCGTATGATAGAAATCTTTTGCTTTTACCATTCCTTTTCCTTTAAAGCTTGGGAAAAATCAAGGTGCGTAAAATCAAACCGATCATTAAATCGGTCATAGCACTGGATTACAGATTAGTGATTCAATTAGGGTTGAATCAGGGGTTGAATCGGTAGCAAACCGGTCATGATTAAAATAATACAATTTAAATAAAAAGACATTAATTATAAAAATATTCAACCAAATCTAACCATTCAAAAGTTTAACAGTAATAAAATACAACATTTTAAATATCTATCATTACAATTACAACTCTTTAATCTCAAAAGTCTAGAGAAAAGATGGAGATAGAGCTGAAGAAGAGACGAAGATTGAGCTGGAAAAAAGACGAAAAGTTAGAGACTAAGCTGGAAAAAAGATGAAGATAGTAGAAATAGAGATAGAGCTGGAGCCTAAAGAAGAAATGGAAACTAAGCTAGAGAAGAAACGCTGATTAGGTTAGGGCGAGAGAGGAGAGACACAGATGAAAGGCCGAACTAAATGCTGTCTGAAAATCTGAATTGGACTTAGCGTGCTCTACCTCTAATTTTTCATTTTTTGACTTTAGTTTCACTTTTTTTTTGTTATCTTATTTCTGAATTCAGCACTCTGAAAAACAAAAAATAAAAAAAAAGTTCTAAAAAAAACCCAGTTAACCCAGTCAACCCACCGAGTTAACCGGGTTATACCGGGTTGAACCCGAGTTGATCGGGTTATACCGGTTCATTCCCTCACCGGTTTAGGAGTAAACCCAAACCGGACAAGGGACTAGGTCACCGGTTTTCGGGTTGACCCGGCCGGTTTGGTCCGGGTTTCAATACCATGGGAAAAACCATCCCATCAACAAATTGGAGGAATGATATTGTAACAATATGAAGTAAAAGTCTTAATCTGACCCCAAAATGGTTAAGAGTACAATTTTGAAGGATGAGAGTAGTGGATTGTACTTGAGAAGCATGATTTTTTGTCTTTTCATATTATAAATTTACATATTGAATACAAGTTAAATGAAAATTTTATTCCTTATTTTCATCCTTTTTCATATTTTGTTATTTTTTAAAAGCTATTCAATCATATCAAATTGGATATAAAACTTTTCAACTTCAAAGAGTAGACAGGCTTCATCCTTGAATTATCTAATGCCTGAGTAACTTCAACTTTGCCTAAGTCAAACAAACAAACAAAATATTTTTTTTTATGAGAAAGTAACTTTAATCTTTATAGCAAGGCCGTGTTTGGTATGATTGAATATCATGTATGGAAGGATACCTTTACCACACTTTCTATCCAATATTTCATCTTCACTGAATTCACATTGCAGATCTCGACCATCATATCTATAGTGAATGATTTAGATTTAATTATTATATTCTTTACATTTTAGCTATATTTTTATGAAATATTAACTTTGAACCATTCATTATAAATTTCACAGTCTAAATTTGCAGTGAAAATGAAGTGGATTAGAGTAAACAAAAACTTTCTTGACAGTTCATCCTCCATTGAAAATATTCAAAAGAATATGCTGTCTTTAGCGCTACAAATGAATCAGGTTGAGTTTGCATTCTTAATGCCCACTGCATGTATGTTTTGGTGCATCTTCTCTGTATTTTTCACAAACAATATTCTCATGTAAAAATTATCAATCTAAAAAATAAAGAAGTTATTATTTTATTTTATTTCAGGGGAAAGAATACAAGAAAATGTTAAACAAATTACAGGTTAAAGTAACAAGAACAAGAAACACATGTATTTAGTTAGTACATTTTTGAAATTTTATTACATTATGATACGATTTTGGTTTTGCATTGTTCTCTCTCATGTTATCTAAACAACTAAACTTTTTGCAACTTTTGCAAGAAAGCTTAGCGGACAAATGACAATTAAATCACCGAAATTACTTTCCAATACAAATCCAAATTTTGACGACTCGATTGAAGCTAACACTGAGGAAGATCCTTGGGTGGAGGCAGAACAGATTGATCTTGTCCCGGTCCATCTTCTACCACGAAAGCTGTTTTCAACCCCCAACCAGTGTGCAGCTCTAAATGACAATGCATGAACCAAACACCTACATGACAATTCATCCCCAACAAAAAAATGCTTTCTATGAGATCAAATACAGGTTATTACTGATGACCCAGATGATTCAAAAATATACATGTACCTGGATTATCAGCACGGAAACGAATTGCAGTCCATCCACCTGTGGGAACACCAACAGTGTTCCTCTCCATAGGATCTACCAAGTTATATTTTGCGGGGTCTTTTGCTGGATCGAAGTTACCGATGCCAGTTCCAACTACAAAGAAGTTATATCCATGGAGATGGAATGGGTGTGATTCAACAGTAAGCAGATTCGTGTCCTGCAGAACCAATTCAACTGTAGAATTGAAGGCAATCTTGCTAACCCTGGTGCCCGTGGAAGTGCCGAGATTGGCAGTCAATGGAGCACCAGTATAGTTGAAAGGGGTTGGAGGGCGATCTGGGAAATCAGCTCTGAACACCCCCTTCAGATTAAAGTAGTGAGCTTGAAGAAGCGCAATCTGGGGCATCACAAAGGATATGTTGTTCAAGGAAGCAAGTAGCTTGGTTCCATTCACGCATGTCGGACAAGAATTCTTGCCCAAACCAATAGTGTAAAACAGGCTTCTGTCGACTTTTAAAGGAACATTAGCAGGGTACTGTGCAGAGTTTAAGCTGCGGAGTTTCTTGTTGTAACTCAGAGCGAAAGCTGTGTCATTGCCGGCTGGTAATTGTGGAAGAAGAGGAAGGACAGTGTTTGGAACACCCTTGTATTGAAGAATAGCTGTGGCTGTTTTGTTATCTACTGGGATTGGAGCGTCCATGAACGCCCTGGTGGACATGAAGTATCTACCTCGTACTTTGTTGGCTTTTACCAAAACGTTTGTGGTCTGTCCAGGAGCTATCAGAATTGCTTGTGTTGTGAATGGCTTTGTGTAAACTGCATCAACTTCCACCACCGTCATGTTGTGACCCGCAATCCCAAAGAAAAGCTCGTCGTTGAGAGCTGCATTGATGATTCTGAGAAGGTAGGTCTTTCCCTGCTCGACCTCCATAGCAAATGTATCTAAACAGAAAGCATGCTCGCAGATTATTTGGCTTTCTTTAGAGTAAAGATAAACTTAGGCTTTCTTGCTGTTTATAATTTCTTACGTTTCTGAGAGCAAGGAAAGAGTGGTCCAGGCTTTCCATTGATAGTATGAGCATCAGACATATTTGGCGGCAACCCCATTCTGTTTCCTTGCTTTTCAATCAACTCCACGTCATTGTTCCACCATTCCCCTGTTGAACAAATTGAACTCAGTATCTGGTTTAACAAAAATGAATGAAAGAAAAAGAATGTGAAGTGTATGTGGAGATGACCTAAAAGGATTTCGAATTCTCTGGCTGGCTGAGCGAAAGGAAATGGAGTTCCAGGCTTAGGCATGATCACAACGGCACCATACACAGTAGCTCTGAGCCAAAGAATGTGTGCGTGCCACCATAAAGTCCCTCTTTGTCCTGTAACGTTGAAGTCATATGTGTAGGTACTTCCAGTTTTGATAGGACACTGCGTAATATAAGCAGGACCATCTGCCCAACCATTGCGATATTGCTTCAGTCCATGCCTGTGATCACACATTCACACATTTTAGTAAGTATATATCGCACAAATATAGGAGTAGAAATTAAATGTTCATAGTTCGTACCAGTGAATTGACAAGTTATATGGCACATGATTTGTGACATTGATTTGCACTCTATCTCCTTCTCTGGCATAAATAGTTGGCCCTGGAAACCTCCCATTCACTGTTACTATGGGCTTTGCATGGCAGAGTCTACTCACGTTCGACATTTGAATCTGCAGAAACAGCCAAGTGTAACCAATCCGTTTATAGATAGGGTAGGACTGTCAAATGATAGCATGGTGATTACTCACATCAAATTGGTATCTCTTTATGGCTGCTTCGGCTGGAGAAAATGCTGAGCCCAAAAACAAGAAGAAAAAGGTTAAGCAAGATAATTGACTTGAGAAGAAGCTCAAGCCAGCCATGTCTGTTTCTCGTAGAACAACTTCAATTTAAAGTGCTTGATTCACTGCATATGGATGAGACATGGAAGCGAAGATGCTTGAGCATTTATATGAGTTGTACGAAGGTAGATTGGAGCGTATAAGTTTGTCAAAAAAAAAAAGGTTTATAGAACCCAAGGGTGATTAGGTGGTGAAGGGGTTGAAGATCAAAGCTTGGAAGCGATATACTGATAAGGACTTGAGGGCCAATGAACTGCCCTAGAGGTTGAGATTTCATGGACAAGACTAACATTCAGAAACACAACATATAGTTATTTTTGTATGTATCATCAAAAGTAGAGGCTAAAAATTCGAGCTTAAAGTGAGAGTTACAAGAGACCAAACAAAATAGGAAGGGGCAAAGCTTTATCGTTAAGGAGAAGCAATAGCTTAAGCGTGATGTTATCGCTCCCATTGTTTTAGTCTTCGGAAGTTTTGGTTTAGTTTATGTATTTCTCAAAAGACTATGAATTGACTATAATCATTGGGTAAATATAGGACCTGTACGACGTTTTTTGTGTGCTTTGCTTTATATATATAGTAGTTTGCGCTTGAGTTGGATATGACATTTCGCGTCAGCATTTTATTTTTCCTCCAAAAACCGCATGTAATGCCATGTTAACATTAACGTTAGAAGATTCTTGAAATTTTGAGGAAACTAGTGAATCAAATCAAAATAATCTTTTAGGATTGATAAGAAACTGAAGCTTTATTTAGGAGAAAAAAATGTAATTTTATCTTGAAAACAAAAGGCTTCTCTAGTGAGACCGACGATGAGATAGTAATCAAATCTGTGGGTGAAATAATTAAATTAAATAATGGAAATCTGTGAACTGCCAAATGAATCCATGGGTGTCTCACTGATTACAATGGTTGAGGCCAAACGTAAATGATAGGAGAGTGAGTTTGGTTCTTCAGTTGCGTGGGAGTTGGGACCAAACTCAAATGTCGTTGGAAACAAATAAGGCAAGTTTTAAGAAACTGCTGTGTGAAACTTCAAGTTAAGCAATGGCAGCACCATACTGATCAGTCTTCACAACATTATAAATATATAAATACATATATATATATATATATGAGATTCCTTAATTATTTCATGGCTTTATCCATGGAAGGCTTCTTGGGTCCAATTTTAAAAACGTTGCTGAAAACACACTGTAAGTGTCAAACTCTCATGTCATTCACATATATTTGATTTTGAGGCAGTAAGTTTGATATGGGACAGGAAATCGTAGTAATGAAGAGTCAAGACTAGAGATTTACTTTTTCAACCGATGCATGCATTTCTATAATGATTTGTGCAGTAAGTTAACGCGGTCATTTGATGCCTGTTATGTTAATAAATTTTTATGTCATTAAAACATTTACATTCACACTCACAATAAACGATATATTTGAAGTTGGAAATATTGGGAGGAGGATATGAACCCAACGGCCAAGAACATAGACAAGTGGCAGATCGATGAAGCTTGAATGGACAAGAAAGGAATCAGGTTTGGTAGAAGTAATGCTTGGTTATGCCGAAGGAATATGAGAAGAATTTTGCAATAATATGTATACTAAGGCATGCAGATTAGAAAGCAAAGCTTGTAGCTGTAGCTTTACATGATGGTGGAACGAGAGGTTATCTAGGTTGCAGCAACTCTATTTATCTCTGCCATTTTTTTTTATTTTTCTATGCAAAAATAATCTCTGCATATCCCAAGTCACTTCATAGCTTGAAAGGGTAATAAACATATCCGCGTGTGTACGTAGTTATTGAAACAGCTCAGCAAAGAAAATACACAGCAAATTAAGCTAATCACTGTTATAGGATTGGAGGATACAGACTCTGACAAAAAGCTAATCACTGGTTGATTTGTAAACATATTAATTTATTAGTCCATGTAAAGCATGGGAATCAACCGTTTCATTCATTCATTAACTTTCTCAAATGTTGATGAAAATCACTTGACAGGCTCTATTTATACTGGGAAGAAACAATACTGAGGAAGTGAGGATACTCTTGGTATTATCTGTTATCTTTTTTTTTTTTGGGTGCTTTTCCCAGAGTATATAAATCCCATAATAATAAAGAGCATGCCCTGTTATTTAAAAGTTGAAAATAAAATGACCATTAATCCATTAATATAAATTAAGTCGCACAACTTGCTGGCCAAAAAAAAAAAAAAAAGCTTCACAACTCATTCCATATATTTGTATATGAATAAAATATATTATCTAATTCCAACCATTTCTTTTCCTGTGAAACATATATAGCCTTATTTATTTATTTATTTATTAATAATTGCCAAGTATTAGTCTCACCATATTGTAAACTTCATGCTCGGTAATGTAGGGGAATAAAACGGGTACGTAGTTGTTTACATTTTAATAGGCATGGGATACTACATTTTAAAATAATTAGTGCATGAATAAAACAAGCTATTATTTATAATTTTAATTTAATATCTACGTAGTAGCAAATTTTAAAATAAAACAAGTTGTTCGTACATTATGATAACAAAAAATTTAAAACAAAATATATGTTTTACATTTTGAATTTGTATAATAATTTATAGACTAAATTAATTTGTTATACTGGTACGATTATTTAGGAGTTATGAAAATGACAACCCCATAGACCTTTTTTGTTTGATGGACTTTTCAATTAAAGCATTAATATTACTCGTATAAGTCCGAAGGGAAGCACGTATCAAAAGATTAATATATTGAATGAGAAAGTTATTTAAATTTATAATCTCATTTTATTTGCAAGGCTTGATGTAGAATTCACGATAAATTATAACAAGTTTTCATTTATTTTAAAATAAAAGAATTGAGATCAATGTTTTCAATTAACTTTTCTATTTAATCCTCTTAAATCGTATCTTTATTAAAATTTTATGATCTCACTTGTCATTTATTTTATTTTTTTTAAGTCTTGGTCACTTATTAAATTTAGCCCATTAAATTCTCGTTTCAACTCTTGATAGACGTTCAACTCTCTTTATCTGATGGAAGTAGCAAGATAACATCCCTCTGCACCGTACAGTATGTAAAATATATTTTAATCCAAATATGAAGCTTGAAAGTTGAAAGGTTTGTAATTAAAGGTGGGAATATACTAGTTTTTTAACAGGAAATTATAGTTTGACTTATTTTAAACCTAATATAACTTACTTGTTAAATAAATTTAAAATTTTAATTAAATTTATTTTTTTAAAATCTAACTTACAAGTTCAATAGATCGATCTATGTATATTATGTAACCTATAACAATAGGTCTAGCTCTTTTTTATTTTTAATTATATTTTTAATAATATTAGACTCATATATTTATTTTAATGTTATTTTATTGGTACATATATTGCAATTAGTAAGTTTTTTTAATTATTATATATTATAATTGATAAATTAAATTATATATTATATATTATAATAATTCTAAAGCATATTGAAAATGTTTAAAATTAAAATGTGAGCTCATTTAAAATGTTTACTTTTAAGTTGGGTTAATTTTAAGTAGATTCATATTTGAGTTGTGAAAAAAATTTTATATAATTTCAAGTTAAGTTTAAGTTTCTAATCTACTTTATAAGCCCAAATTTATTTCATCAAAATTTAATTTGCTTAACCTATTTACACCCTTATTTATAATTTTATTATCCAAATCTAATAAAACTTAAAAAGAAAAAAGAAAAAATGATAAAAGAAATGGAAGGGCCACGTGTAGGAAAGATGCAGTATGGATGGAGGCACTAGATTCCCTCCGATAAATTATGGCTCACTTTTTACAACAGATCGCTAAAATAAGATGGCCAAAAGATAAAGAACTGGATCCGATTTAAGCGACCTATTGCCATCTCAGTTCGTGGTGTCGGGGTGCTGTTTTCGGCCGTCGCTGTCGCCGTCCGCGACGGATCAAGCTCCATGGGTACTTGATCCTTTTCTTCCATTCTCTGAGACCATGGTCCCCTTTTCTGGGTTTCCGTCGTGTTTCTCCCTTTTCTTTTGTGGATCCGGACTCTACCGCCTTCCATTTTGATCTCCCACGCGCCCGCTTGAACATTCTCTTCGATTTGCCTCTTTCTTGCCCTTCCCTTCAATTCTTTCGGTTGGTTCTTTGTTCCTTCTTTTTCAGGGGACATTGACTAGTTTTTCTGTTATACATTCGGAATTCCGATTGATTTTAGTTTGTTTTTGTTTTAACAAGGTTTCGGAGTCTTCAACGGTCTCTGTGTTTGGTTACAACTTACAATTTCTTTTTTACATTTCTGAGTTTGAGGATCACGGGGAGTTAGTTTGAAACCCGTTCAAGGAATTTATTCTCCCTGTTACTCGTTTTTCTATTTTTACTTTTGTTTTCCCTTTTGGAGTGGGCGAGTAAAAAGGATTTTCACTTTGTTATGTTGATGGATAATAACAAAACTTGAATTTATGCGATGCTTTTGATTTTAAAGTAGTCTGAAGAACTGAAAACAAAAGCTTGCGAAAACCGCATTTGGGCAAGGGGAGATGATGATGCGGGAAAGGCTTTTTATTTTTAGGAAAACTTTGATTTTTACGAAAATTTTGTCAGTTGTGACTGTACCTTGTAATGTGTAAACTGTGAATCTGACCATTAGGCTGACGTGGTTGGTAATTTATAGGAGTTAGTGCAGGCAATTGGCTAACCAGCTAAAGATATGGTTTCAGTGCATTGAACCTACAGCTGAGTCTGCGTGCAGTGCATCTCTGTTATGTTTAGCATTTCTATTTCTTATAGTAACTGAGGAAGAGCTGTGTCCTCAATCCCAGAATAGAGAAGCATTCCAATTCTGTTTCTGTTGGTGCAGTTTTGTGTTGAAAGGGAAATTGATATGCTGTGAAAACATGTCATTGAAATGCTTAGTTCGTGAACTTAAGGAAATGAGAGATGGAATGAGCAACATGCCAAGGCGAGGTGCAGAATGTGCGCAATGGCATAGTCGAAAAGCAAAGTCACACATTGTTCCAGATGTCACCCTACCTCCAGTTGATCCTATTCAACAAGGGCAGTGGGCGAATCTACCTCCAGAACTGCTTTTGGACATTATTCGGAGGGTCGAAGGGAGTGAGACAACATGGCCTGCACGGGCTGTCGTCGTTTCCTGTTCTTCAGTATGTAAATCATGGAGAGCCATTACAAAGGAAATTGTCAAGACTCCTGAGCAATGTGGAAGGCTCACATTTCCTGTCTCAGTGAAACAGGTGGTGAATTATTTTCCCTGGTTCCAGCCCAATCTTTTTTATTATTTACCCATGAGGTTTTCTGTTTCTTATGTTATCTTTCCTTTGTGGGTATGAATAGCCGGGTCCTCGTGATGCACCAATTCAGTGCTTTATCAGGAGGAACAGAGAAACTTCTACATTCTTCTTGTATTTTGGTCTAGTGCCATGTAAGTAAAATGCTACATCCATTCTCGATGCATTCCATTTTAAATTTTAATGAAAAAACCAACTCCCTTCTCTCTAAGTCATTCTTCAAACTCGAAATTCGTCACTGTGAATGTTGAATTGTGAGTTCCTTCCTCATAACATGTGGGCTGCTTTTTTTTTTTTTTTTTTGGAGCATCAAAATTGGGATGCAACTGTCATCATCGTCATTCATTTGTGGATTTCACATCCATCTTCATTTGTCTGTCATCAAATGGATTGCTTGGTATCTCATATGTGTTGATACATTCGGAGCAGAACACATTTTTCTTTGCATGACGTATCTCATAACTTAGATGAAATTTAAAGCGTATTGAATGGGTCAGAAATTGGAATCGGCTTTTATTTTTCCTCTTTTCATGGTCTGTTGACCTTATTGAAGTAGTTGAAATGATATCTGAAGAAAATTTATTTTGATTTTAAATTGCAGCGGAAAATGAGAGAGCCAAGTTGTTATTAGCTGCAAAAAAGATAAGAAAACCAACAGCCACAGAGTTTGTTATATCCTTTGTTGCAGATGATTTTTCTCGGGCCAGCAGCACATACCTTGGTAAACTGAGGCAAGTTTTGATTCTCATACACTATCGTTTTCTTTCCATCATCTCATTCATTCATTCTCATCTCTTTAACGATCTCATGGTAAACTTTTGGCAGGTCCAATTTTTTGGGAACCAAGTTTGCCATATATGATAGCCAACCTCCATACAAAGCTAGCATTCAAGCGAATAATCATTCCAGTAGTAAATTCCACCCAAAGCAGGCATCTTCCAGAGTACCCACACGTAAATATAATGTTGCCGCCATTAGTTATGAACTAAATGTTCTTCGCACAAGAGGTCCGAGAAGAATGCACTGCATTTTGAGCTCCATACCTATCTCAGCTATTCAGGAAGGTGGCAGTGCCCCAACTCCAACAACTCTTACGCAATTTTCTTCCTCGCCAGCACTGAAAGGAAAAGATTCAACTACAGATTTAAACTCTGCAAACTTGTTAGATCCACTGGCATCAAGTCAGGGCTCGGTCGAGCCTCTCGTTCTTAAAAACAAGGCTCCCAGATGGCATGAGCAACTGCAGTGCTGGTGCCTAAATTTCAAGGGCCGTGTCACGGTGGCTTCTGTGAAGAATTTCCAGCTTTGTGCTGCTGTTGATCCCTCTCATGACGTTCCGGCTGCAGAACAAGAGAAGGTGATCTTGCAGTTTGGGAAGATTGGGAAAGACATTTTCACCATGGACTACCGATATCCTCTCTCAGCTTTTCAAGCCTTTGCCATATGCTTGAGCAGCTTCGATACTAAACCGGCTTGTGAATGACGTCAAGTTGCTGGAGATTGTAATATTATGCTTATCACAGTCACATTCATTGCAACATGCAGCTGACAATATGATCTGTGCAGTCATTGGCATTTTTTCCTTTCGTTAGCTGTTGGCTGTGAATTTAACCTGTATCAAATGTCTTAATAGTTCTACCACTACGAATATTAATATCAATGAATTTTGGTGAATCTTATATTGTGCGACGTTGTTCCTAGTATGTGATTCTCTTGATCTGCTGGAATCCGGAATTACTGAAATGTTTTCAGTTATTCTCTTACTTCGCTGAATCGTGAAGATGGCCGTTGAACTCTTCGATGACTCGCCGATGGAGGTGGAGCGCATTTCTCTGCTCATCTGATGCATTGTGCGTGTAACAGCATTATGAGCTGAGCGGCATTTCGGCCCTTTCAAACGGGATAGATACGATTTATTGCATTCGTAGATTGTCTTGGTGAAAATTTTTTTTAGAACATGATATCTTATTTACTATTATTATTTATATACTTCTTTATGTATTAACTTATATGATACACGTTATACAAACTTCTTCATAATGAATCAAACATAATCTATGTCTATTTATATATTAAGAAATAAATTATTGGAAACGGTACTATAACTTAGTCCAATATCAGCCTCTCCAGGTTTTGTGCTGCATGCGTTTTTTTTTTTTTTATGTAAAAGAAAAAAATTTCATGGCTTGAATGCTGCTCTTTCTTTAAAAAGTAAAGAATCTAAATTCCCTGGTTACATGTATAATTTTAAAAACCTGTGACGAGAGGACGCTCTTAAGCAACCAGAGAGAGGTACCGTAACAAGGGAGGGTAAACGCTTTTAAAATCGAAGAAGAACAATAGAAGAACGCATATTCTAGAGAGCATTGTAAAACCTGAACAAGCTACAGACAGCCTCAAGAAACAAAGGCAGTAACCGCATTTCCTGTTGATCCAAATATGAGATAAATATTACAATGAAATATGATTTTGACACATTGTTAACTGGCATCAGGCTTTCAGAAAATATGATCAATAGAAGACCAGCAGCTTCAATCTACCGCGGACTAATTAAAGGTTGGCTTTTCACATTCCTTCATGGTGATTCTCATCTTACAGAAGAGTAGGTGATGAACTCTCTAGAAGTAAATTGAAACGGCTGGTGCGGAAAAGGGTTCCTGCAATACAGGTTTACAATTAGTTCATGATTGGCCATGTTTGCAAAAGAATAAGTTCTAAAATGTAAGGAGACGCACGGTCGAGGTCCATAAACTTTGATCTGCCGCACATGAGTATCCCTTCCATTGAGATGGTTTGACAGCACAGCAATTTGCAACATGAAAGTGTTGACAAAAGTTTCCCTGGGGTAAAAAACAAAACAAAAGAAAAACAGCGTTGGTGAAATGCAATTCGAAAGTTCATTGGTGAGTTTCTTGGTCCATGCAGCGGAAGATAAGGACTTCCATATGCCGTAGTCATAAGACATGGAAATTTTGTTTCAGTTACCAGCACTGGTTATCCCAGAAAAATATTCAGAGCCTTAGTCCAAAACCCCAACTATTTAACAAGAAATATAGGAATCAGGTGTAATAAAAAACGCATCTTCACAGTGTATGGTAGCATATGAAATCCAATCATTCAATTTAAACTGAGCAAGTCAATTTCTTCTTCAGCTTCTTCACGGTCGGAGCATCCCACAGAAGAAAATTTTCAAGGTCATAAATTCATTAGAGCCTTAAATACCTTCAAGCTTGGCATAAATCCAGGAAAAAAAACCTTTAGAAGCCAATGATGAGGGAAATTTTCGCTAGTTGCGACATTGACAAAGACTTCAAGTAATGTCTATATTGCTAGCTTGGAGCAGTAACTTGGTCCAATTCCAAATATATGAACATATAAAATGTCTCCTGCTCAAGTGCACCACTTAAAGCATCATTCAACCATTGATCTTGTGGAGAAATCTTGTTATGGGGATTCTTCCCAAAAAAATAAAAAAAGGGTTTCATATTAAATATCTAGGACTGAGGAGGATACCTCATCTGTTTTCTCAGAATGTCTAGGAAGAAATACAAAAAAGACAGAAGAGTACATTTTCGACACTTACCGAGGATCAGCTCCAGATAATGATATATACACCCAACCGGTTGGCTTGATGAGCTCCACAGTTTTTATCTCCTAAAATTGTTCACAGAGGGACAACCGTACTAATCAGATGGATTTGTATTTTTTTTATTTTTTAAAAGGGAAGGACGAGAGAAAGAGTGAATTGAGCAAAAATTACCTTCAAGTTGTGGAAGCCATCACCGGCACGGATGGAAATTTTGCTTGGCGTATAACTCTCGTCAAGCTTGAAATCCACATAAAGAACAACCAACTGTAAAGCGAAAACAAATCAACCAATCACTATCAAACCACCGATGAAGAACCAAGAAGCAAGCTTGGGATTGAAAACTAAAATTAAAAGGAAATGAAGGACAGCATTTGATGTTGCTGAAAGGAAATCAACGTTTACATACTTGTAGCTTGACCTTTTTTTGAAATTGAATATTGACCCAGTGAGGCTGAGCACCGTCGGATCTGAAACCAAGTAAAGCACCATTAGAATTTCAGTGAGAGTGGTAAATGCAAGGATGTGCATCGAAAGAGACAGAGAGAAATCAGAGAAGGCGTGGACTGACTGCCAATAGGTTTCGAGGTTGCTGTCGCGAAGAGAAGAAACGCCATTGCCAGGCTTGAAGGAGCTGACACTCCAAGCGGCCTTCTTGCCCATCTCTCTAAGGTCATCGTCAACGAGTAGGAGTTGGTTTCCTCCGGTAACCTTGCCGGCATCTTCTTCTCCCTCCGATGATTCTGCTGCCATTTTTTTTTTGTAGTTCTCTTGACTCGAAGATTAAAACCTATTCCCCATTTTGATGATCAACCACTTCGCCTTCTTCCAAGCACCCTCCGCTTCCTTGTCAACTTGAACTGCTGCACCGTTTGGATGGATTGATCTATGAATTGAACGCGGCTTCGAACATATGCTTTTACAAGTTCTTAAATTAATTATTCAATAACATTTTTGAAAAATTAATTAATTTTTTGTTAAATATTTTTAAATTTGATCTTAAAAAAAAAATTCTTAAATGACTAAATTGAAATATATTTTCTCCTATCATTAACGTTAAGTTCTAAAATCATGTAATTCTTCAATTCTCTTTCGGTTATACATATAGCTCTACAATTAAAAGACGACAATTTTATCCCCCAACCCCAAAAAAATAAATAAATAAATAAAAAGTGGGTGAATATGATCTGATTGAATTTATATAATTGTTTGTAAATTTCACAAATTAAATCATAATCAAAGTTTTATTCTTTTTTCCTAGAAGGGGTAACAAGCCCAAAAAGGAATAAACAGAAGTATGTTGCGAAGGGGGGGAAAAAATAAACACGCACACAGCGCGCACGCGTCTTTGAAAATGGCCCCATTCATGGAGACCGGGAAATAAAAAAGCATGAAAAAATGAGACTTGAATTTATAGTATTAAAAATCGATTCAACTCAACTCATTAGAGTTAAAGTAGATTTAATAAAATGTTTTATTCATAACCCGCCAAAACATTTCACTCCAAATGGCTGGTGAAGCAATCGAGGTACCAACAAATGCAAGAGTCAGTGTTCTGTGCCAGAGTGAAGTTTGAGATGAGTCCCATGAAACGAAAGTGCGCATTCCAAGCTCGCTCAAGCCTATGTGGAGAGCCATGGGCAAGCATGCGAAGGGAATCATGAACCAGATTTCTACCCAAACCCCCAAGCCATCAGGCAGCTATAAGAATACCCAGGATTCCCCCACACCCAGCTAAGTGAATGTTTAGTAACACTGCATAACAATCAAAAGTCATGTAACACCATTTGATGTCTGTTTTACAATCAGCAATCCAATAAAGTCGTGTCCACTATATTTACAATTTAAAGACGCAAAAAAGGGGGGAGGGGGGTTCAAAAACTATGACCGATCTCCATTATGTTTATCTGGAGAAAAGATAATTCTAACTGTTTCTACAAACCCTAGCTTAGGATGCTAAAAGAATGCATCAAGCATGATAAACACTGTTAATACGGAACTATACATCATCATACAGCCTGCAGTTACCCTACAAAAATCCGAAAGCAGACCCCTTGTTTGAATGAATGCTTAGGGCCTAATAATTTCTACGAGATATTAATAAATAGTAAGAGACAGAGGCAAGATCAATCTACCCATTTACAAAGACGAAGGCTTCTTCTAAACAAGCCCATCGGCTATCAAGCAAGACAAAATCCCACCACAAAGCCATAATCTGCAATCTCCATGCTGAGAATTCAGCTTCACCTCTTGCTTTTTAAGAAAGGTGATAGTTTCTTCAGAAATTCAGAGGTCTTCGACGATTTCTTTTCTTGAGGATGATCGTTAGTATCTTGAGTGTCAAATCTAGGTTTCACAGACTCTTCTTCATATCGAACATCCCCAAGGAGACGGAGCAATTCCAATGCACTCGCCTTTCCATTGTCACTTCCATTGACGGAGATAGTGACAAGAGAAGGGATAACACCCTCATACATGACCAACTGACAATAATCTTCGCGTTGAGAGCATAAAGAGAGTAAAACAGAAAGTGCATGCTCCTGTTCCTCAACACCGCCAGTGTCAATTATCTCAGCAACTGCAGATATGCATCCGCTAGTTCCCGCAACAGAAACCCTGCCCACCTCAATATCACAAAGGCTTTTCAATATACATATACAGTATCTTAAAAGGGCCTGATCCTTAAAAAAGGGCATCAATTTTGGGATGCACCCGAGAGATGCCATGTGGGAGCAACTTTCACTGTTGAAAGACAAATTATACAATATTCTGATAGCTTGTTCTTGGAACTCTCTGCTGTCAGAGTCCAGGATCTTTAAGATGGAAGTGAGCACACTGGATGTTGCAATTGTAGCTTTGTTATGCTGATTCGCAGATAGTTTTTCCATTATGGAAAGAGCTTCACCTATCACTTCTAAATGAAGAAAACTAGCCAACATACCAAATGTATCTTCTCTTAAATAAGATAGATCCTTTCTGCATGAAAAACACAAATTTAGTCAGTTGGATAACAAATGCAAGTCTCCAAATAAAGCAAGGACAGAAGCTTTAAGTCAGAAAGATACTGAGAAAGAACATGAAAGTAATAAAGCTATGTCCTAAACTAAGCTTATCAAATGTGTTAATGCATTATGTCTACAAGGAAAATATTAAAGTTCAAAACACCAAGAGCTAAAAGAAAATAAATATCGATCCATTTTATGGATTAAGAATTGTCAATTAATTTAGTTTTAAAGTACAATCATAGAACTGAACGACATTAAATTAATTAGCAATGTAGAAAAATCATACCCGCAGTTACTCACAAATTCCATTAACAATTGAGTTCCAGTTCTCAGAGCTTTTACATCTTGATGTTCATATGCACTGCTCAAAAATCTGCTGAGAGGTTCAACAAAATTTTCAGAAGACACAGAACAAGAAGCTTGGCAATTGCACTTCAAACGATCTGTCAGATCTTTAATGGCCTGGCACTGAGAATCCCATTCAAGGTCTTGGAATTTAGACAAAATTTTCAGATCAGTGTCATGCACATGCACATTAACCAGATGACTCCAAGAATTATCAGCGGCCTTTTTCAACATCAAGTTTAAGTCATTGTTCCTAGCATGTGAGGAATCAGAACCTTGACTATAATCTAATGATCCAAGTGACATGCCGCTAAGATCTACTGGCAAGTGCAGATCATTCATGGAACTGCCAAAGCTCCTAATGGAAGTTGAGGAAACCTCCCATGAGCGAAATTCTTTTGCTCTCTTTTGTGGTTCAGCAAGTGTGAGCCCATTATTTCTGCACCACTTAGATATTAAGTCCTTCATAACAGTGTTCGGAGTCAATGACAAGTGGGACAGTTTCTTCTTGGTTTTTGGACATATATCATTGCCCTCGTCAAACCACTTTTGTATCCACATTCTTTCATATGTTGCTCCAGAAGCAATAACAACAGGATCATACATTAATCTTGAAGATATCGGACATTTGTATTCCTCAGGTGGTTCTGCTCTACCCATCTCACTGTTGCGAGTTTCAAACTGCTCATAATTAAAGCATCTTCCTGGTTGAACATAATTGTTAAGTCGAGAATGTTGACTGCAGTTCTCAGTTAAAATCGGTCCTTCACTATAAGGATAGACCATTTCCATGTGTTCTCCTGTGATAAGGTTTCCATGCTTTTTCAATAGATACCAGAGATATCTCAAGATCTTCTGTTTTGCCTGCTCATTTGGTCCAACTTTATCTAGCAACTTCTTAATAGATCGTTTCTCTGTTAAGATGGCTTTATGGGATGTGATATTAAGTCTTGCTGCAGCAAACTGAAGAGCTTTAATTTCAGAATTTTCAATAGAGTCTGAGGTTGAAGCACCTTGCTGGAGCAATTCCTTTACAACCCTCCCAGCCTCTTCTTCAGCTGAATCCAATACAATAGTCATGCATGCAAGATCATCGATTATTTGAGAAATCTGCAAAGAAAACCAAAGACTTCTAGAGCATTAAATATGGTTTCAAATTGTAACCAAACACAGATCAAAATAAACAGAATTGTAAGACTAGTTAGTGTCAACTCAGTTCCATAATCGTAAATCTATCAAAAGAAGATTTGATAATGTGTTGATTTCTGAAACTAGAAAAAAACAAAAATTTGTTCGACATACTGTATTTGTTGATGTACTAAATAATGTGTTGATTTCTGAAACTAGAAAAAAACAAAAATTTGTTCGACATACTGTATTTGTTGATGTACCAAATTAAAATTTGTAGACATTACAGTAGTCCAGTTAAATGGGTCAATCAGTGCTGAAAAGCTGGCAGATTAATGAGAAACACCTAGTTCAGAGCAGTTTAAGAAAGAAGTTTAGGTTTGTAGACAAATGAAAATGAATAGGCAAGGTAATTGGACAAACCTCTGCCGCCAACATCACTGGAACGATACTCTGAACTTGGCCTAAGCTTTGCTCCAATGATCTTCTTGCTTTTTGGAATCTTGAGAGTACCCTATCACCAGTCACAGCCTGGGAGTAATATTAAACCCAATCAAATAATGATACAATCAGCTAGAATAATCCATTGATGTTTACATTTTTGGTAGCTCAGTTTTTTTACCAATGTAAATTTTTCAACTCTTGGCATAGCTTTTTTGATATAATTAAAAAAGGAAAAAAAAAAAAGATAACCTGCATTCAAACTTCAAACTTTCATAAACGAATTATTTCCCAGTTCTTCTTAGTTGCATAAGGTTTTATTATTCTAGATTACGGTAATCTATACCAACAGAATAACTTAAATAATAAACAACTACATACCAGGTAGAGCTTGCTAGCCTCGCTGCAATGCTGCAGAAGAAGTTTGGCCTTCTCAACCGCACTGTTTAGCAAGCACAAAGATTGTATTCCTGATGAGCATCGAGGACGTGCTGCCTCAATATCTGGGAATATCCTAGAGACTCTATCAACTAATTTCATTAGCTCTGTGCACATTTTACGATGGACCTGTCATCATGAAGAGCAATCAACTAAATACTTGATTTTTATATGCCAAACACGTTTGAAGAAGATAAAAGACAACCGAATCAATATGAAAATAACCATACTGTTCAATTGTAATTTTAACTAAAAATGATGAGTATTAATTATAGTGACATGCTGGGAACAATTCCCCCCTGGTAAACTTTTAAAGAAAATTTCATATCTTCTCAAATCAATAACCCAGCCCATCTATTTCTTTTTCTTTTCCTTTTTAGCTTATTGCACCATAAAGGTAGCAGATCAGATTAGAGATGTGTAGTTTATGTCCCGTAATATTTTGGTGCTGAATATACAGTCAACTACAATTATTTTTGTGGATTTCCATTACTTTTGTGTACCTTAAAGGAGCGGATATTTGGTAATGTCTCCACTACTTCACCATAATCGGTTCCCATTCAGGATGTGCACTAAAGCTGTAAGTTAGAAGACAACAGAAAATGAATTTACTTAATTCACTTGCATAAAAATATGCAAAACTGATAACTTGAAAGAAAATGGTAGCCCAATCTGCTAGATGCAGAGCTATTTGCATAACGTTATGAAGCTTATTATTTACAAAGCAGAATTCATCTCATAACATACCAACACAAAAGTAAGCATAAATATGCCATACAAGATCTAGACTGGACTCTATTTCACAAGATTTGAAAACCATCGCTGTTGCCCCAGACCGCCAGAAACTGTCACGGGACCTCTAGTTCAAAAGGGGATTTATCAACTACATGTTTGCCTAATTTTTCATCAGTAAGCTGCAAAGATGAGAAATTGTTATTTTATTGCTCTGTTTCTGTAATAGTTGAACGAAGTCCAGATTGCTACAGCAAAAGAGCAACAAAATAAATGTTTGTAAGACATGAAAGAAACTTTCTAAGAAACTCAGTACAACAGGCATGCATACATGGTTTAATCATACATCAAAGTTGAACCTAGCATGACAATGAAGACAGTTAGTCCTTAAGCCAAACATATCGATTAGATAATATCTAACAAATGGAAACATAATTAACAAGTATGCAGTAAACACAACGATGATAAGAAGCAAATACCTCGACTTAAGGGGACAATAATTACCACAGAATCGAGTCTCTTCTTCTCCGTTCAACCGACAATATTGCTGCCTAACCACCAGATACTGCAAATATGTCCAAGGAGCCGTTAACTTTGAGTAATTGCAAACAGAATTTGGAGCTTCACAGCGTCCCCCGCGCAGCCCTCCCGTAGATTAGCAAGGCGAGCAGGAAGCAACGGATCCAGGTAATCTTGGATGAGCAAAAGGACCAAATACAAGGGCTCATAATCGAACCCTTATACCCTACACCACATGGATACTCAGTGCCTGAAAAAGAGAAGGGGCAGCGATATACGGAAAACCCCAAGCCAAACGTGGTGGAAGAACGAAAAGAGTACTCGGTACACAAAAAACTATTATTAACTTCAGAACCTCTCAGAAGACATGATTATAATAACCCAAGAGAAGGTCGAAGATTTGTTCAGTGAAAGCAAAGCAAACCCATAAAAAAATTAGCAGTTGTTCTCAAAACAAAAGTCTCGGTCTATGCCCTATAGTACTCATTCAAGAGTCTCAGGGAAGGAGGGGGAAAAAAAATACCCGTCAAACAGAAGACTTACCTTGAGAAATTATTGGCGATTCGATGACGATATAGGATTTTCCCGGAGGGTCGGGACTCGGTCGACGAAAGAAGGAAGAAATTACTTGGCCATCTCGGTGGCTTTTGTCCGAGCGAATATAGACAAAGCAGCTAAAGCATGCTGAGCAGTCATCATTTAGAGTAACGTGCCTGTGAAGTCCGTGATCATTGTACACCGTTCGTCCCAACAACTAATGCCACTATGCGGGATCCGTGTTTGGATCAACCGGTGATTGAGGTGGCTGTGAGGATGAGAGGACATTCGCTTATTCCTGTTGACTGCAACTGCTGGTGTTTCAACTCGCCGACTATGTTGAAGGGTAAGGGGCAGTACCGTAAATTGGGGGGCCTGAAGTCAAAAGGCACAAATATACCAGAAATATGGAAAAGTATTCACGGTAATGCCTGAAAAAAAGAAACATGATAAAAATTGGTAAAGATTTCGCTTATTACTTTCTCGATCCTATCTATAAAATAGGGGAAATTATTGTATTACAAAATTTTTATTAAAAAAATTTTTTACTTTCCACTATATTGAAAATATATATATATATTATTAAAGTATATATATTTTTTTTCATAAGAACAAAATTAAAAATTTATTTAAATTTTTAAGCAAATTTAATAAATTTTAAAATTTTTATAATTACAATAAAATATATTGAAAATGATTTTATGAATAAAACAAGAAGAGTATCTTAAAAGATTCACATCTTGTTGTCAATATTAATGGTGGGTAATATTAAGCATTCATGTAAATATCTTTAAACTCAAACCCGTTTTAACTATGAGAAGCCGGACCTAACGCAACTAAAACTAACATAAATATTTAAAAAGGAAACATGACGAAAACAGAAAAGGATAAGGACAAACAACCTTTGGCCTTCTCCCTGCTTGGTCCCCAAAGGAGTGTCCCTATCAACCTCATTTAATTTTGGCCAAAAAAAATCAACTTTATTTAATTAATTTCTAATTTGTTTCTGGTGGATAATTTATTAATATTTCGTGACTTTTTCAGCGTCAACGTTAAATAGTTTCCATCGTGATGTGTGATGTTTTGTTGCCTAAATCAATCGTGGTATAATTAATCAAACACTAGCTTCACATTCACATGGTGGAAGAAGCAAGCAACCAAGTGCTTATGCGGTATTGTTTGATTCCTTTTTTAATTTGGCTTTTTCGTGAACCAATGGTGAAAATGAAAAGTAGGGACCAACAAAGCCGAAAATGAAAAAAGAAACAATGGTTAATTGAACAAACCCCAAAATAAAGTTGCTTTTATATTTAATAAGTTTTATTAATACATATAATTTTATCTATAAATTGTTTTATAAACTGAAACCGAGGGAGTACATGTTATTTTTAACTTGAACCTAAATAATAATAAAACTTATTTCATTAAGTAGGATTGGTTACATAGACAAGATAATGCTATTATATTCTATCAGCAACCAAACTTTTGAGTATATTATTCTCATTCAATAATTTTCATAAATATTTTTTTATCTTTCTCTATTATTTTTTACAAAGTTCAAGAGTGTCCATTTTCACTCTCCTCACCAATACCATATTCTCATCAATAGATAACAGGCTCACTCTTTTATCATATATAAATTTTATTTTTTCATATATGTATATACACACACATATTTATTTTAATATTCTCATTTGGACTATTTCAATTTTGTGTTCATGTTGTCCTTCTAAAGCACAACATCACTACCATATAACATGATTGATTTTATGATAATTTGATAAAGTTTTTTTAAATTATTAAGTACCTTTTAATTATAAATAATTATATATCCTTATATTTATTTGAACCACCTAGCTTGTATTCTATTTGAATAATTGCTCTTAAATATTAATTTTATTTTTTAATATTTGAACACTTGCATTTAAAAAACATGGTATTTTGAGAATGACAAAAAAAAAACTCTTACAATATGTAAGTGACAATTAAGCATCACAAAATATGATAATTATCATTCAGTCCCAAAGGACTTGTGTAGCATTTTGATTTTTAATAAAATGACATATTTGTCTTTAATAACTATTATATAATAACAACGACTGCTTTTTCCTACAAATTTTTTTGTTAATTAAATGGAAACTAAAATAATCATTCTTAAAAAAAGAAAGTAGTCATTTTTAATTGTTTGTAAATAACAAAAATTTTCATAAAAAGAAGTAGTTATTCTTATTTTGTCTTAGTTAATAGCTCAACTATAGGAATCATTTTCTAACATATAATAGCCACTAATTTTTTAAGTATTTGCATTTATCTGATAAACAAAATTTATAAAAAGAAAAGTCATTTTGTATTCTATTTTAATTAAAAACCCAATCAAAGCAGTAACTTCCTAATGTATAAATCACTGAAAGCAAACATGTCATTTGTCAAAAATAAAAATATTAGATGAGTCTTAAGGAATTAAATATTAATTACTAAATTTTATGATATTTAATTATCATTTACATATTTTAGAGATTTTTTTTTATCATTCTACCTGAAAAATTCTGAAACTCATCGTTAGGATTTAATTTTATTAATTAATTGTACAATTAAGGATTGATTTCTCTGGTGCGCTTTGGGACAGACAAAAAAGTCACAGCCACAGGCAGCATGTATGAAAGGCTCGTTGATTATAAATAAATTTCAGTTTGTAAGAATTGGAGAAAGCAATGGATGGAACTGAATTGAATTGGTAACGCATCTATTAGATTGTGGGTTAAGTGTGGGATCAAGTGTCCCACCCTGCGCATGACGTTGACGGTGGCATTGCCAGCAAGGCAGTGTCATGTCTATGTCTGACCCAACTTGTAAACTGATAATGCGCATTTAATGTTCCATGTTCACGCACCTTTCGTTTTTTTAAGTTGCAGAATAAGATTGATCATACTACTTCTCATAAAAAAAAAAAAAAATCGTTTGATCATACTGCTCATGCTCATGACTTGATCACAGCTCCAATATTTTGTGTAAAATATGAGATAATAAAATTTTCAATCGTTAGAGTTGTCTCTAAAATTATCAATTTAATCTTTTATGTATTTTCTTAAATTATAATATGAGTTATTTAAGTTTTAAAATATAAATTAACTTCTAAAATAATTCAATATATAAAGTGTATCGATGACTTAACATGTATATATAATTAAATAAAAATAAATTAAATTTTAAATTAATTTAATTTTTATCAATATAATTCCTTACACTTTCTTTTATTCTCTTGTTTTTTTAAAATTTTTTATATATATATAATTATACTTTTTTTCATTGATCTATATGACTTCATATTTTGTTATTTATGTCAATAAATTTTAATAATGTAATTTCTTTTCAAAATAATAAGAATCGAATCGTTAACTAAAGTAAGCTTAAGGGATTAAATTAATAAAAAGATAAACTTGAGGAACAAAAGCAATAGCTAAAATAAACTTGAACGACTAAAAGTTACACTATTCAAAAAATAACAAATAAATTAAATTGTTTGTTTTATCTTAAATTTCACATTATGTATGATTTTTAAAGTTCATTTTGTAGAAAAATAATATTACTTTATCAATCAGTCTTTAGGTAAAAAATTATTATAGAAAGAAAGACGGTAAAAGCAGTTAATTGTTTTGAAAGACAAAATTATCTTTAAGATATTAGTGAAACTTTTAGAAAGATGTTTTACTGTTTTTTTATTTTCTTTAAAAAGTCATTTCTCATTTTTTTTGATAAAATTCTAACCATTTATAAAAATAAGACAAAAGTGAAGTTGATCCTAAAATTTTATTTTAATTTTTTAATTTATAAAGTATCATTTTGATCCTCTAATCATAATATTATTATTCTAAAATGATCATTTTTACCAACCATTATTATTTTAAAAATTAAACTTAAGGTGTTAATATTTGATAATGTTTTAATTGACATTTAAAATTTTAATTTTGGCAATTTTTTTGTCAATCAAACTAACGACGCTTTAATTAAAAAATTAAAAAATACTTTATAAAATTAAAATATTAAAATAAAATTTCATTTAAAATTAAAATATTAAATGTGTATTTTTTTAAATAAAAAAGTAAAATAAGATTATAGTTGAAATTTAAAAGGTTAAATTATATTTTTGATATTCTAGTTTTATATAACATTTTAAATTGGTCATTTAATTTAATGAAGCATCTTTTTAATCATTTAACTTTAACACCATTAATTTTAAATAATTATTTTTATGTCAATTATGGTTAGTTTAAAAATTAAATTTAATATATTAATATTTAAAAATATTTTATTAATATTTAAAAGTTTAATGTATAAATTTTTTTTGATGAAACTAATGATATTAGGATCAACAAATTAAAAAAATATTTTATAAAATTAAAGGATTAAAATGAATTTTTGTATAAAGTTAAAAGGACTCGAGGTATACTTTAATGAAATTAAAAATATGTTTTATAATAAGGAAAAAATTAGCCTATTTAAATAAAAAGATTGATGATATTAAAAGGGTATGATATTCTACGTTAAAATGGAGTTTTTTTCCCAAAAAAAATTAAAGGATTTAAATTAAATATTTAGAAGACAACAATAAGCCCTAAAATATGACCAAAATAATACAAAGCCCAAATGAGATATACAATTTTTTATTCAAATTTCTAATTAGTCTAATACATAACTAAACAAATTATGCTATATTCATATATGAATTTAAAAATTAAAATAAACTAACCCCTTCTAACCATAGTATTTTGCAATATTAATAATTTCAACCACTGACCCAAAAAATAATTTCAACCAAATCATTTTTAACAATTTCAACAACATGCTAATTTAAAAAATACATATAGAGAGCTTAAAAAGGTAACTGAAAAAGCCAACTCTTACCAAAAGGTTACAATCAAAATTGAACCTAAAATTTTTTAGTTACAAAAAGCTTACATATCTTAGACAATAAGGTCATTGATTTTACTGTAGAGCATAA